CTAGATGTCTCCCTTTTGTCTTCCTGGAACATAGCCTTGTAGCAGTTCCTTAGCTAAAGAACTTTGGAAGTCCTTTGTGGACCGTGTTATGGAAGACAAAGACTCAGAGGTGGCAGATAAAATGAAGGTATTTGATATGGTGATGTCGAATAACATCCAGTACAGATATTTGTAATATTTACGACACTTGAGATGAATTTGATAATACTGGCGAAGTTGGTTGTTGCGATCTACTCCGCCCATGTACTTGTTGTACTGTTTGATGGCTTCTGGACAGGAGTAGGTATGATGTTGGCCAGTCTTCAGTTTATGAGTCACAGAGTCAAGGGGAATGGCTTGACAGTTGGTAGCAGTAACTGTAACAGGTTTAGTGTCTTGCCCGACAAAGACAGTGAAGTTAGGCTGTATTTCACTTTGCAGTGTCATATTGTCTCCTCTCTCAGGGAAAACACACTTCAAGTAAGGAGTAAGCTCCGATGGAAAATGCTTACGACTGCTCCTTATTGTTCCACAGGCGTAAATACCAACTGATAAAAGGTCAGAGAATAGCTGGAAACTGGAGAAGTTGTCACAGTAGAGATGGTGGTTACAGTGATGGATGGTAGCAGTTAGATCTTTAGCAACACGAGATCCCAAACCATTCTCAGTAGAAGATGTTTCCTTTCTAGTGTATACTTGGAATTGGGAATCATAACCATTGATATTGTCCGCTCTCACCCACTCCTTGAATCCTCTCTTTATAGGCTTCTGAGGCATGTATTGCTTCAGAGAGGAGCGACCTTTATATGGGGCCATAGCTTTATCTATGGCACATTGGCAATGAGGGTGGTATACTGCTTCGAATCTCTCTGCTACAATTGTGAGGAATGGGCGGAGCTTATATAAATGGTCAGTTGATGCATAGATAATAGAGTAAATGAAAGGAATAGGAAATGGAAGCGTGGGCGTAGCCCAACCTTCATTCATTTGTATTGCTGCTAGGCTGACAGAGGCTCATTGAAATTTTTTGTCACAATTTACCCTTGATTTTCTTTCTTTTAGGAGCAATATCTCACAAACAAGTGTTCCTATGCTAGTGAAATTAATGCATCAAGAAGCCAAATGTTTCCTCTCTATAATTCTGTTTTCTATTGTATAGATAATTTTACCATGTTAATGTTATGGCACTTTTAAAACCATAAAATGTATTTTTTGTCATTATTATCCCTTTTTTGAAAACAAGCTAGAGTAAAATGCAATATCATATGACAGAGTTTCCATTTGCATATCGAATGATACTAGTTATGGTTAGAATTGATAAAGCATGAGTTTGTTACAAAAGATAAAGGGCGAAAAATGAAAAATTTTGTTGTACCTCATCTTTTAGCAATCTATTGCTGTCATATATTTCATGACATGCTCCAAAGAGGGAGAACATGTCTGTGTATTTGGTGCATATTTCACCAGCCCTCCCTTTTAACTCTACATCTTTATGGCTTAGTGAATCTGCCGTTGTCATAATTGCAGAGCAAAGAGTCCTTATGTTATGTGGCTATACAAATCAGGTAACATACATGTAATTTAAAAATAAATAATATATCTTGAGAGCTCTGTGAATATGATTACCAATGAATGAGCCACCATGATAGGCTTGCCGTTCAACATTAAATGATGCCAATGCATTATCAAGGGACTTAACAAAGAGCCCTTCATCTCTTTCAAATCCTTTTGAGACTTGCCTTTGATGTTGAATGGTGGCTCTTTCTTATAATAGAATAGAGACATGTATTATAGTATGTTATGATTAGATAAAATTACATTAGCCTTAATTTTTATGATGTTATTGTGTATCAGGGATGTGACATTTTGTATTGAAGGATCTTGTTGAGGATTTGTAACAGTGAGGAGAAGAAGGGCTAGTAGTTGTTGGCCTTGGTTAGCTTCACTTTGCAGTGTTGCCATGTCCTGTTGAAGTGAAGAAATTGCTGATTTAGCCCCTAGATATAAAGCAAATGAATTGCTTGCAGTATTACATGTGTCTGTGACACTGTAATGGAGAGAGTGGCATTCCTCCTCTAAAAGATTAAATAATCTTTGAAAAATACCTAGCGTTATATGTAGACCTGGTGGACAAACCTATGATAAAATTAATATGGCAATAAATTCAAGATTATCTTAAACTAACTAGAGAGAGAGGAACATTAATAAAAGCTTTACCAATGACATTATCATGTAGTTTAGCTTTTTTGAGATTTGACCCATCTTGTACAAACTCATCATATTTCTGGCTTAAGGTCAACAGTGTACGTGGTGTAACACTAAGGGTAGATGTTCTTGTCTGTTGATCTATTTTTAATTGATCATAAACAGTGACGTCCTATGAAATATATTATTAAAATTGTAACTATAAGAAAATGCAAATAAACTAACCACTAGCTCCCGATATGCCATATATATTGCAGAGAAATTCATAATCACCTGACATGAACATATGAATATTATACCTCTATTTTTATTTATTATAAATAATATGATTTTTTCACTGTTATGACTAACTTCCACTGTGACCGCTGTAGGTTTGAGATGGACTGATGATACCTGTCCAGAGCAAGGTGGAGGTTGAAGACATTATCTGGAGCTTCAAACACAGAAAAAACGCAGCTATTAAGGACAGAGTTTGGTTTTTCTGTATTCATGATTTGGAATGAAATTTTTACAGAAGGGCCACCCTTATCTCCTCCCAATTTTATCCAAATCTCATTTGGTGGTATGACTCCATCATGCCAAGTAAGCTGGTTTAATCTGTTAATAATAACAAATTTATTATAAAGTATTGTTTTTCTTTAACGCTTCTTCTCATCTAGCAGGTGAAAGATAACACTCCAAATCATCAACACAAGCAAGAGAAGGTTTTATCTGTTGGCTACCATGTCGTATAGTAAAAGAAAATGGTACTGCTTCTGCTATGATTTGTACTGGCTCTAGATCATTTTTCACTACATATCTCTGCTTTTTCTCACTGCACATACTAACATTCCATACTTTCATCCACCTACATGTAATAAGCACTAATGACTTTGTTTTGTTATGTTATTTTATTTTATACCTCCTCATAAGTCTTAACTTCTTCCATGGCAGGCATAAATCAGCCTTCATTCCAAGGCATTGCTCAGGAGACACCTCTATCTTAAAATCAAGCTCTTTCAATATCTCATTCTGCTCTTCTTTTGTCATCATTCTAATCTCATCTACAATTGATGTTGGCTCTCTCCTCTTGTCAGTTGATATCTCAACTTGGATATTTCATTGCTTCTTCAGCAGATAGTACGCTGAGAAGCTTCTCCAGATGTAATTAAAGGTGAGGTGACCTTTGTTAGATTGATGGGCTAATGTATACCAGTATATTATATAGGCGGTAGCCTATATGTAGGATTGAGGTTGGTTTTTCAAGATGGCGGCCTTTTTTATGATTTTCAAACACTCACAACTCTTTTATCTTATGTTGCAAGCCTTATAAATGGCTTAGATGAGCTCTCCTTCACTGAGCGATTCTCCTAATACCTTTAAAGTGGACTGTAATGTAGCTGGAGCTTTTTTGGAGAATAGGCCAAAATTCAAATTTCTGCAAAATTCTTCAGACTTTTTCTTCTTTCAACTTCTTCTATCGCCACGATAGTCTTTTGAACCAGAAAACGGCTCCAGTTGGCTTTTACATCATTCCTTTGTGCTTGGGTCAAGGACCACAAAGGTGGCTTCAAAAAGAAGCTAGGAGAGAACAAAATGGAAGTCAATATCCAGCTGCAGACACCGCGTGGGTTTGTGGTTTGACGCCATTTTAATTTATGCGCACGTGATTAGCTTGAATATCATCATAGATATTATACACGGAACAGGATTGGAAACAGGATCACGTGAGCACATTATCCATTGAAACCAACCTAGTTTGCCGGGAACTGGTGACCGTAATGGAGATGAATGGAGATACTTTGTGGGACTCTAGCAACTACATCGGACGACAAAGCAGGCTAGTGTGAGCCTTCATAGCTACCTCTCAAGGGTCTTTAGTGGAATAAGGCATCTATTTGTGCTTATATTTATATTTCAAAAAGTTATGGCATGCTAAAAAAAAGGGATCTTAAGCTAGGATGCCATTTCTCTCAAACTAACAGATGTGCTTTATAACAAATGTCTTAGTCCACTGTAGGATGTTAAGAAGTAGCTATAGAGCTAGATACCTTGTCATAAAACTGCCGGGTATTGTCTAGAAAGTCCCACAAAGTATTTTTAACAATCTCCATTCATCTCCATTACAGAATTCAAATTTCAGTCTTAATAACCACAAATTAACCTGTTCCCGGCAAACTAGTTTGGTTTCTATGGATAATGCACTCACGTGATCCTTGTTTCCAATCCTGTTCCGTGTACAATATCTATGATATGATTAACCTAAGCACAGAATCAAAACAGA